GGTAAATTGTGAGTGATTTGAATGGACGGCCGATGTTGAATCTCTTGGTTATAGACCATTTATTAGGCGTTTGAATGTCTTAATGATATCGAAATTCGACGATCTTAGGCTCATTGGATTTGTCTCGTCGAGCCACTCGATTCGACTATAAGCATTTCATGTTTGAAAATTCTTTGGTAATCTAAATTATGGTTTAAACCTTTTGAATATGTTTTTGGTCTTCAATTTGGATCCATTTGAGCTCAGGTTGGGTCGAATTTGGTGTCGTTGGGTTCATATTTCTGAGATGTTCAGTTCGACTATAAGTTTGTTAAAATCAAAGTTTAGAATGTCTCCAATTTAATTTTTGCCTCGAGAACCGTGCTTGTCAAGATAAAATTTTAATGATATATCAAGGCCAATTAAGACAAATTCATATACACATCACATACTCAAGCTTCGAACTCATGACTTTTTGGTTGGTCGTCAAAGCTCCCAACCAATAGATCAAGATGAGCTACGTTAGGTCCCCTCTTTTGAGCTTCATTTGGATGGCTTTCTTACAACTTAAAAAAGCTTTTTAGTATAAAAATTAAGTTTTTATACTAAAAAAATGCTTTAAAATTTAGTAAAAAAATAGTCTCAAATGAAGCCCTAATTAGTCAATATATTTCGGGGTCAGAGGCTAAGTCATGAATAGCGGTTTAAAGTCCAACTTGCATTTATAGCATTGATTTTATGCTATCGGTATTGTTTTAGGTGATTATGCATTTAATACTTATTTATTTTCCCAATTTTTTTAAAAAATATTTATTTATTTATAAATTGAACAAATATGAGCTAAATTTAATAAACTTGGCATACAAATGTAAAAATTTAAATCTTATTTTATGTTATTTATTAAAAAATTTATAATTTTTTACACTTTAATAATTATGAGCAGTTAAAGGTATATAGAAAAAAATGAAATAATTAGTTAATATTCAATTTTCTCATAAATTTTCGAGCAATATTATTTCTTATAATTTAATTTAAGTTATAATATATTCAATTGAAAATTTTCTAATTAATTAGTAATTATTTAAGAAACATAAAGTAATTAATATCTTTGAAAGACTTAATTAAAATAAATACTAATTAGAAGAATATATATTAATTATGTTTTATTACCACTTATAGTATCTTTTTATCATTAAAATAGATAATAAATAGAGAATAAAATAAAGCATAATAGTAAATGATAATTTCATATAGAAATTATTGTCATTTTTAATCGGCACGAAAGATTTTAAGCACATTTATTTCTGAAGAATAATATCCCTATCAGCAGATCTTAAGCATCATTTATGATTTTATTCTTGAAGTTTGCCCCACGCTAACGTCGTCAATTACAAGTGAGGTATTTGTACAGAGTCGGTGTGCGACCGTCCGCACCGTTGAAACTAATTTGGGATTGTTACGAATTGCGAAACTTCTCACTTCGTTACCAAAATGTAAATATTTTATTTTTAGGGCTGAAAATGTAAAATATTTCTATATGTAAAAATTATTTGTATATCGAATATTCAAATTTTAATATTTAAATATCTAAATCATATCAAAATCTATATATTAAGATATATCTTTTATTTAAAAAATAATATTATTGAAATTTTTTATGTGATTTAAAATTTAGAGCCATTTGAGTCAGATACGATTCTTCTATAAAACTTAAGTTTCTTTAAAATTGACGATTGTTTTTATAAGCTCAGACGTAACTAATTTTTTTTAAAAAATGGCATATTTGATATATGAAATGATGGTATGAGGTTATTTAATTAATGATATGTTTGGAATGGCTGTAATATTTTATAAAAATTGTTCTAAAATTGTTTTTGAAAAATTAGTTTTCTTAAAAGTTATTGCAGAAAATAGTTTCTCAGTACAAATTTTTTTGAAAAGTAGTGATCTAAATAGAAATTATGATTTGAAAAGTAAAACAATAAGAAAGTTGTCTCAAACGAAACATAAGGATTCGTTTGGTATAGCTTTTAACCACTGCTTTTAAGAATTTTTTGTACTAAAATAGTAAAATATGAATTTAGAAAGTAATAAAAAAATTAGCCCAAATACCTATGTATTAAATATTTTTAATAAAAAATAGGATTTCAACTCTTCCAGCATCATTTATCAACAACATTTCTATTTGCTGATACTCACACAATTCTTATGATTTATAAAATCTTATTTATATTCACATAGGAAAATGAGCTTGGTAAAATAAAATAAAATAAAATAGATTATTAAGCTTTGATATGCCTTCAAAAAATTCACTTTAATCATCAGAAATTTTAATAAAATATTTGGAAATTTTAGATCAAAGATGTATGCATATAATGCTAAGTGAGTGAGTGATTAAAATCATTAAGCTCAAAAGTAAAGATCATTCAACAATACTAACTTTGATAATTAAGGCTTCATTTGGGACGGCTTTTTTGTTGCTTCTTAAAACAGTTTTTTAGTACAAAAATTAAAACTACTTTAAAAATCAGTAAGAAAGCCATTCCAAACGAAGCTTATGGCTTCGTTTGGGACGACTTTTTTTATTGCTTTCTAAAACGGAGTTTTAGCAAAAAAAATTTTAATTTTGTACTAAAACTCTGTTTTAGAAAGCAATAAAAAAGCCGTCCCAAACGAAGCCTAAGACTTCGTTTAGGACAACTTTCTTGTTGCTTTGTAAAATAACTACAGAGAAAGTAACTTTTAAAGCTAATGTAGTAAACAATTTTCTTATACAAAATTTTTTAAGAAAATACGAAAAAGCAGTGGCCAAATAGAAATGATGATTGTGGTATGAACGTAAAGCAATAAGAAAGTTGTCTGAAATGAAACCAAATGATAATTCATCATTAATCATCTGAATAACCAAATGATAACTCCAACTTATGCTATGCTTTAGATAGCTTTCCGTAAACTTTGTTTTTCAGACCACAATCACAATTTCATTTGATCACTATTTTTTTGCTACTTGCTCGTTATTTTTTTTAAAAAAAAAATAGTTGTGAATAGCTATTTTCTAAAATAATAATAGCGAAGTTATTTTCTCTATAATAATTTTATAATCAACTTTATATAACATTGCAGCAGTCTAAACTATATAAAATATGAATGAATAAAAACTATGCTATGGAATAATATGGATACTAAATATATATAATATATAATTTTACACCCAACAAGGCCACATTATTGTCTAAGGCTTTCCCTCGTATAGGATTTTAACGAATCAGCCTGCTACCATATATAAGTCAATAATCTAATTTTCAAGGGCAGGAAAACCAATTTTTGGTTCTAACATGTGGCCTTCAATTGTCATTTTATATGGGAATTAACAAGTAAAAAATGATGACCAATGTGGGGGGGTTTAGGAATCAACTAGCAAATGCATTGACCAATTTTTTTTTTTTTTTGATGTGCTCATATTTCTACATTGAGCATCAATATTAGATTATGTAATTAGAGCTCTAACTTGAAAAGGCATATAAGAGGTTAAATGGTAATTATTGTAATTAGTTAGCTTCATTTTTAAATCCTTGTTGTTTATTTAGCTTTATTTTGTTGTTTTACGCTTACAGTTAAAAAAAAAA